AAATTTATTTACAGTAATAGAAATTTAGACAATGTATGAAAAATATAAATTATATAACATTTATACTTCTAAGATAATTCACATAGGTTTGTATAGTCAGGCTTTATCGCTAAAATAACATAGGTAATAAATATTTAATAGAAGTCAATTTGCAGGTACCATATTCAATCGAACAGGTGAAAGTTGAGCATATTCAATCATACGGTGGCGATATAATTAAGACAGACTTAGGTGATCGATTAATTAGAGCGAATCAGGAAGCCATGAGAAATAATGGCTTTTTCATGAATCAATTTGCTAATTCGGATAAAGCTGAGGAGTATCATGAAAGTAAATTTTATTTTGAACCATTTTAAAGATTATTAATTGAAATTTGAAATATTTTGATTTAACACATGAACTATTTTAAATGCTTGAAAAACAAACATTTGTTATTTATTACCTGTTAGCAAATCTGTATAAAAGATTGAATCCAAAATGATTATTATTACCGATAGGAGAAAATTTAAAAATTATCGGTACTTGAAATTTTCATTTTTTCTTCCCTCATTTTTTATTTATAGTCAAACTTTACAAAATGTTCATTCCTTTTTTTAAATATGCGAAAATTTAACTTGGTATTATGATAGCCATTTTGTTATAAAAAATGAAGATAACGAATTAATTTTTCGTTTTCATTTCAAATATCTCACAAATTTCTTCTCAGTAAAAGAATAATTCAATTATATTTCCGAAAATTTTAGAATGACATATTTGCTTTAGTTTAATTGATTTAAAATTTGATTACTATAGTTTAAACCATGCAACATTTGTGCAAACCTGAAAAATAAGTTTTTAATTTTTCCATTTTTTTAAATGAAAGACGAAGAAACATGATAAATAATGGAAAATTATCGTTACCAAAAATTGATGATAGCATTAAATTTCATCGTCTGCATATCAATAAGCTGCTTTAAATTTATAATAAGTTGATAAAAAATTTTCAGGTGGTAATTATCCACTGGAAAGCGTTAATTTAATGCATGAAATATTAGCGCAAATACGACAAGATCTTAATCAAACAATTGAAGAGCCGAATTATTTTATTCATTCTGCTGGAACTGGCACATTTTTTCGATCAATCAATACTTTAATTTCTTTTTTTTTTCAATTAAATTAAAATAATAATTCGACTCATTTATTACGATTAGTAATTGATTCCTACAATGATAAAATATTTGTAATGAGTTAAAAATTAAATCGAATAGTATTTCCATAGAAATGCATGTGTTAAATATTTGAGTAAGCAACAGAATCGCTTTCCGAGCTTTATATTCAAATAATAATTATTAATTCTAAGCTTACGAAAAAAAATTCGATTACTTCATTTTATTAGAAGAAAAATAAAAAGTATAGCATAAAATTATGTTTTTAAATAAGTAAACAATCGATAATTACTGACAGTTATTTGATTAAGAAATTAGCTAACGCAATTATTATCCACTAAATTTGTAATTAAATTAAATTTTAGTTCATAAATAAATTTTCTTTTTTTTCTCGCTCATTTTCTTTAATAGAACTACAAATACAGTAAAATGATGATTACGTTAACAAATTGTTAAATCATTAAAAGGAGATTATTATAAATTATATTGGAACAAAAAATTAAACTACTTTTTTTGCCTCAAATTTTTTGCACAAAAGCAAGCAAAAAAAAAAAGAAATTTTTAAAAATGCTAAATTAAAAAAATTTTCAATTAATCAAAAATATTGATTAGTAACATTTTCATAGGTGGAACAATATCATCCGTTGGACGTTACGTTAAAAAATATGGGCTACGAACAGAGGTTGTACTTGCTGATACGCAATTTTCGGTCTACTATGATTATGTCATGAATGAACGATTTACAAATGAAAGTGGTCGAGATGTTTGGGTAACACCTGGAATGGCAGGTATTGGATTCGGTGTTATGGGACCGGTTAGACATGGTATCACATCAAGGTAACCCGTACTGTAACTTATTATTATGCTAAGAATATGTGTTATTTGAGTAAAATTTAAATGTAAAATATAGTGAGGGAAATTTAATGCGAATGCTACAAAGATTGATAATATCATAGCTGCTAATATATTAATACATTTCATTCGTACATAGAAAATTGTTATATTATTATTTTTATCATTATTATTGATATTAATGTTGTCCTGATCAATTATCATTATTACCATTATTATTACCATTATTATTATCATTATTATTAGTACCATTATTATTACTATTATTAT